AGGAGGTCCCATTTATCAATTGTTGATCTCAGTGTCTGTGCTACTGGTGTAATGTTCAGGAAGTGGTCTCCTGTACCAATTAATTCAAAGGTATTTCCCACTTTGTCTTCTAATAGGGTTAGTGTGGCTGGGTTTATGTTGAGGTCATTGATCCATTTTGACTTAAGTTTTGTGCCTGGCAATAGGCTTGGGTCTATCTGCAGTCTTCTACATGTCCCCATCCAGTTATGCCAGCACCATTTGTTGAAGATGTTCTCTTTGTTCCAGAGTATAAATTTGGATTGTCAAAAATCAGGTGTTCGTAGGTGTGTGGGTTAATATCGGTTTTCAACTCTATTCCATTGGTCTACCTATCTATTTTTGTGCCAATACCAAGCTGTTTGCAGGACTATAGCTCTGTAATAGAGCTTGAAGTCGGGATGGTGATGCCTCCAGAAGTTCCTTTATTGTACAGGGTTGTTTTTGCTATCCTGATAGACCACAGGATCTTGAATCCACAGTTGAATTCTTCCAGTTTCTACTTTTTGAGTGTCAAGATTATGGGCATTTGCCACCATACCTGGCCTAATTTACCAGTTTTTCTACTTTTGTTTTTGGTTTGAGGCAGAGTTTCTCTATTTAGTTCTGGTTGTTCTGAAATTATCTCTGTAGACCAGGCCGGCCTCGAACTCAGAGACCTACTTGTCTCTGCCTCTCAAGTGCTGGGATTAAAGGCATGAGCCACCACTGCCCAGCACCTAACTTACTGTATTAAGGTCTGAGCTTTTATGTGTTCTGTTTTGGTGAGGAGGATCGTGAAATGCAGCCAAAGCTGCCATAGAGGTATTGCCCGTGCTGATATGAAACTTGCCATGCTGCCTTTCTTTATGGACAGTCAAGATTAAATGTATATCCTGCTAGGCATGTCCTGCCACTCCAGTAAATGGATCTTTTTGCATATTGGGATAAATGATGGCAGGTGGTGCTGATACCCTGGCTTCTACCTCTTCTACCTCTCCCCGGGTCCTGGGAAACCTAGTCCAGTACCTGCTCCCTTCTCTGGCTCTGTGGTTTCTCAACACCGGCCTCTCACTCCTTGCCAGCCCTCTCCTTGGCCTGTAACTTCTCCTTAGGGAAACTTTCCTGGTCGCTGGGTGGGCGGCTCTAATCCTGCCCAGGATAGATCTTCCCTGGGCTACCTTCCCTCGCCCTGGGATCCATCTTTGACAGGTGATCACTCCTCACTAACAGCTGTCAAAGGTTGCATGGCTGCATCTTGTATCCGTTAGGTAGCTGCATAAGGAATCTGCCTGCAGAAACCATGTGGAACGGGGGCCACCCGGAGCTGGGCCAACAGCAGCTCCATGACTATAGTTTCAACTGCTAAGACTCCTTCTAAAGCGTTCCCGTTCCCTATATCAGCAAGCGCCTCCTGCCTGTTTTCTCTTCTTTCCATTTCTGCTCCCCTCCCTTTGCTCCCTTTCCCAATAAACTCCATGTGATTTGTTAAGTTTGGTGGATCATGTTTCATTGCCTGAAGCTGCAGCAAAGAACAACAGGTGGTAGGGTGGCTTCTAAATACCTTCAGGTTAAGGGCTGGCTGGTCCTATCTGGGCTGTTACTAGGCTCAAACTCCTGCACTGAATTCCAGAAACAACTTGGAGCTTTCAACCTCACTTTGATTTACCATCATGAATGGTAAAAGGACTGGAGCTGCATGTGGCCAGTTACTTAACCACCCATGCTTAATAATGAAGCAGGTATAAAAGCCCCAGGACAGGACTTTGTGAGTTTGTCTTGATCATGTGGAGGCTCTGGGGGGATGGCTTTGAAAGAAGATGCAACACCCACTTGGCTCTAAGCAGTCTCTCCATCTGGCTGTTTCCAAAGAGGATCAGCTAAAGGTTATCCTCAGTAGACAAGTTTAAGGTCAGACAGGACTATATAAGGCACTACCTCAAAATAAATAAGCAAAAATTTCTAGTAAACAAACTTTCCCAGGTGCTTTTCCTAAATTCTATGAACCATTTTTAACAGCAAGTGGTTAAAAGTGAGGAGAGGATTGTGGGAACACGCAGTTTGTCGCCAAGTGGTAAATTGTGGGTAACTTGGGGAACTCACTACTTGAGATTAGCATGTAGAGATGGGACAACCCCACAGGACTGAGCCCTTTAACCTGCAAGAGCTGACAGGTCCAGGTTGACAGAGTCAGAAGTGAATTAAGATGGAGGACACTGCATAGGTGTCTTCTAAGGAACTGATCTGTAATAGAAACTCCATGTATCTGACTTAAAAGTAAAGTCCTGCCAGGCGTTGGTGGCGCACACCTTTAATCCCAGCACTCAGGAGGCAGAAGGAGGTGGATCTCTGTGAGTTCGAGGCCAGCCTGGTCCACAGAGTGAGTGCGAGGACAGCCTCCAAAATAATAGAGAAACCCTGTCTCAAAAAACCAAAACCAAAACACACAACAAAATAACCCTGGCTGGGCTGGGGAGATGGATTGGTGGGTATAGGTGCTTCTTGGCAAGCCTAGCAATCTGAGGTCAGCAGTTAGGAGTGCTTGCTGCTCTCCCAGAGAACCTGAGTTTGGTTCCCAGCACTGAGAGCACATTGGGTGTTGTCCCCAAGCACACTGCATGTTTGTGCTTCTTTTGAGACCCCACTATGTCTCTCTGCCTGGCACAGAACTTGTTACATAGACCAGGCTGGCAATGAATTCAGAGATGTGCCTGCCTAGAGCAGGAGTTATATAGGCATTTGTGAACTGCCTGATGTGTATGCTGGGAACTGAATTTGGATCCTCTGCAAGAGCACTATGCACTCTTAAGCCGAGTCAACTCTCCAGACCATGGATTTTTTGTTGTTTTTTGTTTTTGAGACAGGGTTTCTCTGTGTAACACCTGGCTGTCCTGGAACCTGTTTTGTAGATCAGGCTGGCCTCAAAACGTCAGAGACCGCTTGCCTCTCTCTGCCTTCCAAGTGCAGGGATTAAAAGTGTGCACTACCACCACCCAGCCAGACCGTGTTGTTTAATAGGCATTTATAATACCTGCCCATCTTCCTTGTCCAGGTATCTTTTCGTTTGAGTGGGTGCTGAGCATCAAACCCAGAGGCTAAGTAATCAATCACTCTACCACTGAGTTATACCTCCTGGCAAGGGGCCATTTTTTTTATCATAATATTGCTAGTATCACACGTGACATTATTTCTTGAAGGACTGAAAGGAAAAAATCAAGATCAGCTGGGCATGGTGGCAATTCTTGAATCCCAGCACTCAGGAGACAGAAGCAGATAGGTCACTATTGGTTTGATGTCTGCCTAGTTCCTATTCTGACACCCAATCTGAAACCAAACTGAAAAACACCTCAAGGTCTCTTTTCCAGGAAGTAGTTTTGCTGAACCTCTGCCTAACAGCAGTCCAGGGCAGCACTGGTTTCAGAATCCAACCTATTGTCTTGTTGCTTCTGCCCTTCATAGCTTCTATGTGCAAGATGACTTTCAAATACAAGAACACTAGCTACAATCGGAAGGCTGGAGAATTTAGGGCTAGTCTGGGTTACATAGCAAAACTTTGTCTCAGAAAACAAAAGGAGGGCTGGAGAGAAGGCTCAGCGGTTAAGAGTACTGGCTGCTCTTCCAGAGGTCCTGAGTTCAATTCCCAACAACCACATGATGGCTCACAACCATCTACAATGAGATCTGGTGCCCTCTTCTGGCCTTCAGGGACACATGCAGGCAGAACATGTATATAGCGTATGTATGTATGTATGTATACTTTTTTCTTCTCCCCTGAAATCAGGGTTTCTCTGTAGCTTTGAAGCCTGTCTAGTAGAGGAGAATGACAAGCGATGGTTCAGCAGTTAAGAGGACTTACTGCTCTTGAGGAGGGCTGGGCTTTGATTCCTAGCACCCACATGGCTCATGACCATCTAGTTCTAGCAACAAAAATTGTTCTGGCCTCCTCGGGAGCAGGTCAGATTGTGGTGAACACACTACACACTCACACAGACATATAAACACTTTTAAATGGGGGCTGTATGTAGGTAGACAGAGGGCTGTGAGATGACCTAGCAGGGAAAGCATTAGCTGTACTGGACTGATGACCTGAGTTTGATTCCCAGAACCCAAAGACAGGTAGGAGAGAACTTGGTGCCAACAGAGGCCAGAAGCAGGCATCAGATCTCCCAGAACTGAAGCCACAGATGGCTGTGAGCTGCCATATATGCACTGGGAATCACACCCAGGTCCTCTGGAAGAGAAGCCAGTGCCCTTAACTATCTCTCTAGTCCCTTAAGTAATAGTTTTAAAAATTGAATTCCTGTCTGATCCTGCATGATTCTAGTATACTAAAATGTATTATAACTGAAAGTATGTACACTGCCAACAGTAACAACAGAATGGTGAACCAACTGCAAGCTACACAGCAATTATTGTAGATAAGACTTTTTTTTTTTTTTTTTAAGTTCATGACTGGCTGTTTTGAGAAATATCTCCACCCTGAATTCCCATGGAAACAGAACTGCCCATCTCAGCAGGGACATCTCCAAGAGGACCAGGGTCCCCTGCTTCCAGGTACTGCACTCTCTCCTGCTCGTGTGTCTGCTCTGTGCTGCCTTTCATTTGGGCCTCTTGGTCTTCCAACTCCACGGCTTTCTCGGGGGCTGGCGCTACAGCTTCATCTTCATTTTCATGCAGAAAGCTGCAAATCATGTTGGGTCTATAGGAGAAATCATTATCCTTCATTTGTAGCCATTCTACACCATCTAATTGGGCAGGAGGTAAGAAACAGAAATTTCAGTTAAGTGTATGTTTTTTCTTGACTGACAACAAATGGGGCGCAGATGAAGAGCTGTTACACAGGGCTGGTGGGGATGTAAATCTGTACAACCACTATAGAAATCAGTATGACAATGCCTTAAAGAGAAGAGGGCCACCCAATGATCTAGCTGGACCACTCCTAAACACCCATAGGAGTATGTGTGTTGCACATCTATGTTTATGGCTGCAGTATTCACAAAAGGCATAAACAAATGTAGTGAGGACACAGCTTTGCACGCCTCAAGTTCATGCTGAAGTATCTTTCCTTCGGGCGGAGCACCTCTAACTATTTTATTTCACACTGTCTTCACACAGCTACACTGACTGACTGGCAAGCCTGTCCTCCTGTGTCCACCTCCCCAGGCCACTGCAAGGGTGCTGAGGATTGAGCTTTGCCTACTGAGCCATTACCCAGCACCAGAAAAGGAGAGGCAGTGCCCGCCTGTAATCCCAGCACTAAGGAGGTGGCTATAAGAGATCCTGTCTTTAAAAAAAAGTGGTACATATAGTAAATACACAATATATGACGCAATTTTATCACCTCTTTTATGTTTGTTTTTCGAGACAGGGTTTCTCTGTATTGCTTTGGAGCCTATCCTGGAACTCCCTCTGTAGACCAGGCTGACCTCGAACTCACAGAGATCCGCCTACCTCTGTCTCCAGAGTGCTGGGATTAAAGGTGTGCACCACCAACGAACGGCCACAATGTAATTTTATTTAGCTTATAAGTAAGAATTAAATTAACATATGCAGGAAAATGGATGCAACCAGAACTCACTGTTAAGCAAAATAGGCTGGATGAGAAAGACAGGTACTGCATGCTTTCCCTCATATGTGGAATCCAAATTTAAATGTGTATGTAGGATATGTATGTAGAAAGGGAATGGTGAGGGAGGCATAAACTGAGAGTCAGGGAGGACATCAGAAGGCAGCGGGAATCTGTGGCATGAAAGCAAAAGGAAGAACTCTGACGCTGGCCTGATCTTCCACATTCTAGGATTGTACCTAAGAACCACACACCCAGTATAGTGCTCAATTTTAATATACTCTCGTTTATTAATATAGTTATCTCTATAAAGTCTAGGGACTATCCTGATAGCAAGCCTACACTAAGATCACCTACTTTCTGGGAAAGGTAGACAGAGAAAGCCCGCTAGAAAAAGATGACATATAGCCCCCAAAGGAGTAAGAGATCTGGACCCTCCTCCGGTAAACTAAGTCCATGTAGAAATACATGGATTAGTAGTTATGGGTTAATAATTAAGACAGAGCTAGCCAATAAGAAGCACCTACCTTCGGCTAACAGTTTTATAATATAGCGTCCATGTGCTTATGTGGGGCTAAAAGAGGGCAGTGGGACAAGAAAACTCCACAACGTATGTATGTATGTACGTATGTATGTACGTATGTATGTACGTATATATGTATGTATGTATGTATGTATGTACGTACGTACGTACGTACGTATGTATGTATGTATGTATGTACATACATATGTGTGTGTGGGGGGGTGGGACTCAGGACTTTTTTTGTTTTTGTGACAGAGTGTTTGAGCTCCTATCTTCCTTCTACTTGCCAAGTAGTTGAATCTGGCCTTGAACTCCTGGTCTTCAGCTACCTTCCCCAACCTCCAAAGCACTGGGATTACAAGCATATGCCACCATCTGGCTAGCACTAGGCACTGATCCAAGGGTGTCACAAATGCTAGGCAAATGTTCTCAACCACTTAGCTTCATTCCCAGCCCAAGAGCACCCATCTTCAAAGAATAGAGTGAACGAACCTATGTTTTCTTCGCCTTCCTTCTTTTCTGTCAGAAGAGTCCTTGTCATGCTGAGTTTCTTCATTGTGTGGCATTTGTATTTCAGCACTGTTTTGTCAGTCCCTTCCGGATCCACTAGGATATAAAGTGATCTTATTATACTGCTTCATGCCATCAAATCAAGTACTCAAGTTGAGGGAGTCTGTCTCAACTACTTCCTATAGAAACAGCACAGGAAGTTCACATTGTAATTTATCATTCCTGTCCCACATGCAAAGGAATGATAGATGACATTGTCACGTGAAGGAACAATAGACTCAGACACATACAGCTTCAAGGACAGAAACATAAAAACAAAGAGAATAAAGCAACAGCAGGGTAGACTCAAGCCCTAACATGGGAAGTAGGGGTCAGGAGTTGGCCTGTAGGGCAATATGTCTACAATTCCATCATCCAAATGAAGGACCAGAATCAAATGCCCTACTTGAAGCTAGAGGCTTGAGCGGGGATGCTCCCAATTAGAAAAGCCTGTGATAAAACCTGCTGTGATTGCTGCCTAGAACTACAACTTTTAAAATATGGACCCAGACAAATAGATAATGAGACTCTGAACCAAAGATGGGGAATGCCAGAAATGTCCGCAAACTACTCTGCCAAGTGTGAACTCTTGGTACATGTCAAGAGAGAATGACATCTATTCATCTGAACCCTATGGAGTCCAGCTATTGTTAATATTTAAACTTAAGACTGTCACGTGGGGGGCTGGAGAGACGGCTCAGCAGTTAAAAGCACTGACTGTTCTTCCAGAGGTCCTGAGTTCAATTCCCGGCAACCACATGGTGGCTCACAACCACCTTAAATGAGATCTGGTGCCCTCTGCTGGCATGCAGGCAGAAGACTATACGTAATAAATAAATAAAATCTTAAAAAAAAAAAGACTGTCACGTGGTTCAAGCTGTTCAAGTTGAAGATTGCATACATTCCATTTTTATTCTCCCCCACCTCTCCTTTTATGTTTATTTTTTAAGGTTGGATACTTGTGGCTAAGGCCTCATACATGGTAAGCAAATGTTCTTGAGGAAAGGTACAACCCCACTCTCTTACTAAGTCTATTTCTTTCCCTAGCTCTTCAACCTAGTTCTAGATATAAAGTTTGGAGACAGCTTTACCTATACTTACAAAGACACACATAAAAAATGTATGGTAGCAGTTTTATGGCAAGGTATTCAGTTCAGTTAAGAACATTAAGACAGGGCTGTAGTGATGGCTCAGCGGTTAAGAGCACTGACTGTTCTTCCAGAGGCCCTGAGTTCAATTCCCAGTAACCACATGGTGGCTCACAACCACCTTGGATGAGATCTGGTGCTCTCTGCTGGCATGCAGGCAGAAGACTGTATACATAATGAATAAATAAAATCTTAAAAAAAAAAAAAAGAACATTAAGACAGCCATTGTTGGACAGCAAAATGCTCAGAAGGCTGAGACAGGAGCATCACAAGTCTGAGATCAGGCAAGGAGGGGATGTGCATAGCTCCTTAGCATATGCAAAGCTGTAGTTCAATCCCCAACATCACCAAGAGAAAATGGATGTAAGCCCTGAAGCCAAGCTACATTCAAACCCTGGCCCTGCCACTCACTCCTATGTGAGTCAGAGAGTGTCAGTGACCCCTGTGCTTCCTCTAACTCTGAACAAACATGAAAGTGGGACCTATCCTGGCACATGGAGGCTAAGACAATAGCAGAATTTAAGTCCAGCCTGGGATACACAGAGAATTCCAAGCCACCCTGTTCAATGGCTACTTACAAACATACAAAAAGTGTCTTGAATACTGAACTGTGGTAAGGATTAAATGATTAAATGACTGTATCCTTTAGAACATTACCTAACATATAGAAGATGACAAATAGTAGCTATCTGCTGTGTGTGGTGGCTCAAACCTTTAATCCTAGCACTCAGGAGGCAGATGGAGGAAGATCCCTGAGTTCAAGGCCAGCCTGGTCTACAAAACAGAGTTCCAGGACAGCCAGGACTACACAAAAGAACCCTGTCTCAGAAAACCAAAACAAAGCTGGGCGTTGGTGGCGCACCCCTTTAATCCCAGCACTTGGGAGGCAGAGGCAGGCAGAGCGAGTGCCAGGATCGGCTCCAAAGCTACACAGAGGAAAAAAAAAAAAAAGAAAAGAAAAGAAAAGAAAACCAAAACAAGCCAGCCGGTGCTGGAGCACACCTTTAATTCCAGCACACTCTTTAGATAGAGGCAGGCAGATCTCTGAGTGAGAGGCCAGCATGGTCTACAGAGTGAGTTCTAGGACAGCCAGGGCTACACAGATAAACCCTGTCTCAAGAAAAACAAATTAAAAAAGAAAAAAAAAAATAGTAACTATTAACTATTGGTGGATTTTATACAGTTGAACTGAATATCGGCTTATACTCAGATAGGAACAAACTACAGAATATACTAGTCTCCAAATGGAGTTCTATACAACAGGAAAATAAACTTGCACTATATATTATCAGGTGTGAACCTCAAAATATAGCTAAAGAAAAAACTACAGAATATCTTGTATGGTATGTTACAATTTATATAGGCTTCTTGGTTTCTGTTTTGTTTGGCAGTATTAGTGACTAAATTCATGCAGTTAGGCAAGAATCTACCACAAAGCTAAACCCCAGCCTCAAGTCTGAAAATTCATATATATGTAATATAAACTGAGGTACAGGAAAGAGAAACACCAAATTCAAAGCAGTGATTATTTCTAGAGACAAAGCTAGGAACTGAGCACATGGGGGCTCGCTCCTATGAGGTACTAGGAACTGAACACAAATTCCCCACAGGGGATACCAGCACCCTATCATTAAGCTGGAACTTTCTGATTCTGAGGCAGAATCTTGCTGTGTAGCTCAGTAAAGCCTTGAACTCACAGTCCTCCTGCCTTGGCCTCCTGAATAGCTGGGATCATAAGCCTGTGCCACCAGACCCAGCTCCTATAACACTCTAAACTATATTCCAAGTCAACTGACAAGATGAGAGGAGTTGATACAATTTCAGTGGGTACATGATACTTAGCTGGGGTTTTTTTATTACATTTTTTATGTATTAGTATGTGCACAGGAGTGCACACAGCGAGTCAGTATTTTCCTTCTACTGTGTGGGCCCCAGGGATTGAACTCATGCTATCAGGCACTTTACCCACTAAGCCACCTCATCAGCCTGAGGTAGTATTTATTTTTATTATTAGTGTTTTGAGACAGAGTCTCAAATGCAGGCTGATCTGAATCCATTCTGTAAACCAGGCTGCCCTCGAATTCAGAGATCCACCAGTCTCTACCTTTTAACTACTGGAATAAAGGTGTGCACCACCATGCCCAGCCTGAGATATTCAATTTTAATATTTATTACACATAATGTTTTTTTGTTTGTTTGTTTATTTGTTTTTGTTTTTCAAGACAGGATTTCTCTGTGTAGCTTTGGAGCCTATCTGGGCACTCGCTCTGGAGACCAGGCTGGCCTCGAACTCACAGTGATCTGCATGCCTCTGTCTCCCTAGTGCTGGGATTAAAGGCATGCGCCACCACTGCCCAGCACATAATGTATTTTTAAAAGAAATGTTTATGTATATGTGTGTCTGCATATGGGAATGTGCCCTCCCAGGCCAATCTCCTGGAACTGGTATTGCAGCCCTTGTGAACCAACATGAGTACTGGGAACTGAACTCAGGTCCTCTACAAGAACAGGACATGTTTTTATCTGCTGAGTCATCTCTCCAGCCCCCTATAGTTACTATTATAAGGACTCAGGCATTAGGCTGGCCTGTTCCTGTCACCTGGCAGAATGTACTCAGGCAGTACAACCAGGGTTCCATGGTTGCATACTCTGCAAGCAGGTGCAAAGGACCCCTTTAAAAGACAGACCCCGCCCACGTACGGTCTCTTTCCCTTTTTCTTTCCCGCTGTTCCCTTGGTGAAGACAGGACTTTTCCCTCTTCTCTTCTGTCCTCTTTGCCTCTGTGTACCTTTACCTCTTTTCTCTTTCCTTCCCCCATCCTTCCCTTTCTAATAAACTAATAAAACTTCTCACTTAAGTTCTGTCTGCCTGGCATGTTTGTCCCCCGCCTGTGTCACCCTCGACTGCCATGGAATCCACCAAGGTTCCCACGCACTTTATCATAACAACTATACATTGTGTATCTGAAGCAGGCACAGTGGTGTACAGAGGCTATAATCCCAGCAATAAAGGGGCATGAGGATTGTGAGTGCAAAGGCAACCTGAGCCACAGCTGACCTGATATTAAGCAACAATAAGACAAAATTTAAAAAAAGAAAAGCAAAACACACAGTAAGTTTGAAATAATCTGTAGAAAAAGCTAGTCTAGCATAGCAACAACTTACCACGTTCAACACCTTCTTCAAATATAACACAGGTCCCAAGAGTATCTGCAGGAAAATGTGAAGGCAAATTAGGAAAGAGCAGAGATACTCTGAAAGCCATATGAAAAGGAGCTTTTGTGTCTGGCACTCTCCTACCTTCATATTCCCCAGCAAACACATAGCTGTCTACTTGCAGGATGGGCTTCTCTGTGTCAATTCCCTACAACAGATCAAAGGGCATAAAATACTATCATTAGAAAATGCCCTCAGCAGGGCAGTGGTGGGGGCATGCCTTTAATCCCAGCATGTGGAAAGCAAGGAAGCAGGCCATCTATGAGTTTGATACCAATTTAGTCTACATAGAAGATAGGGGCTAGCCCAGGCTACACATGAGACCCTGTCTCAAAAAAACAAAACAAAAACCAAACCAAACCAAACCAAAAACCCTTAAGGGCCATCAAGATCACTTAGCAGGTAGGGATGCTTGCTGTCAAACCTGATGACCTGAGTTCAATCCCTGGAACCTACACAGTGGAAGCAGATAAACTGACTCCTACAGCTTGTCCTCTGACCTCTTGGAACACCATGAAGCCAACAGCCTGGCAAAAGGCCGATCCTGTCCTCTGCCATTGGCTACCATGAATCCATCTCATCAGTGCTATCTCCTCTCCTCAACCTAAATATTCTTCCTTCAGTTAAAGCTTATGCCTGAAAGTTTGTGTTTCTCACCTCAGATGTCTTTGTTACCACAGGGATAGAGGCTCCTACTGGCCTTACCAGTTTCTTAGAGGGGAACTTCCCCTCTCCTCCAGGTTAGCGTTTTCTGAGAACTTCTGGTAAATTCTTTCACCTTCTTCCCTTCCCATGACAACATACACTCCCAATATACTCTAATTAGGTGGCACCACACACTGTCCCAACTCCATTTTGTCCTTCTCTGGCTCTACCCTGGCCTCTTTAACTTTTCTCCTCCTCCTAAGTCATTCATTTTCTTCTGCAGTTATCTGGGATTGATCAATAAACAGCTTTATGACAAGGGACCTGAGCTAACCCCAAACAACATAAACCTTGAAAGACCACTCACTCACCAAATGAGGGGAATTACCCATGACAGTATGCAAAGGTAGACCCAAAAGCAGGAACGGTAATCTTACAGCAACCATATTGTACCACCCCCACTTCAGGTGACAGTGATGACAACTTCTCTAGAACCTTTCCAGAAAAAGAAAGTGGTGATCAACTGGACCACAGGCCTGGCCAAGGTCACCTGTTCTACCTCTCCATTTCCCTTTACTACGTACATTCAAAGTTCTTGTCTTTCCAACCTGACCACAATGGTTAAATCTCTCTTCACAACTCTCATCTCTGTTTGGTTTTGGTTTTACAGGTTTGTTTGTTTGTTTGTTTTGGGGAGGTTGGTGTCTGAGACAGGGTTTCTATGTTTCCCTGGCTGTCCTGTGTTTTTGTTTTGTTTGACTTTTTGTTTGTTTTGTTTTTTTGAGACAGGGGTTCTCTATGGCTTTGGAGGCTGTCCTGGAACTAGCTCTTGTAGACCAGGCTGGTCTGGAACTCACAGAGATCCACCTGCCTCTGCAGTGCTGGGATTAAAGGTATGTGCTACACCACCCGGCTTGTTGCATTTGTTTTGGGACAGGATCTCTCTATATAGACCTGTCTATTCTAGAACTTGCTATGTAGACCACATAACTCATCTCTTATTGGCATGTTGTGGTAGGTGGCAGAAAGTAGCTGGTTGAAATTTTTGGATCCAGGGATATTGCCAAAAAAACTCTGATAACAATAGCTTCAAGCCTGCAGTGGTGGATCACACCTTTAATCCCAGCACTCGGGAGGCAGAGGCAGGCAGATCAGTGAGTTTGAGACCAGCCTGGTCTACAAGAGCTAGCTAGTTCTAGGACAGCCTCCAAAGCCACAGAGAAACCCTGTCTCAAAAAAAAAAAAAAAAAAACAACAAAAAAAAAAAACAACAGCTTCATCTTTAATTTGTGTCTTCTTTTTGTTATTGTTTGGTTTATTGGAAATTTTTTTGTTTGCTTGTTTGTTTTGTTGGTTTTTTTCTCTGTATAGCCCACACTCTCCTGGAACTCACTCTGTAGACCAGGCTGGCCTTGAACTCAGAGATCCAGCTGCTGGGATTAAAGGCATGAGCTACCACTACCCAGCTTCTTTAGGTTTTTGTTTTTGTTTTTTGTTTTTTCGAGGATTCCTGCAGCTCAAGCTGGCCTAGAATTTACTTTGTCATTAAGGATGACATAGAACTTGTGATCTGCCTGCCTTAGGCTCTCCAGTGCTGGCATTATGAGGTGTACCCAGACAGTCTGCTCTGACAATGTTCCTTGTAGTCTGATGAGTGAGGCATGTGTGAGCAATGAAGATACACCAAAGACTGTCTTATAGTGATGGGCAGACCCTTGAGTGAAGCATGCCATGTGGATGCCGGGCAACTGGCATGGCACCGCTATCTATATGTCCACACTTAGACCAGAGTCTGGGTCCAAACTAGTACTCTTGACTGTGGTATCACTGGAGGATGGAACTGAGACTAAGCCTACTAGAAAGAAAACTAGAAAAACGCCGGAGCCGGGCGTTGGTGGCGCACGCCTTTAATGCCAGCACTCGGGAGACAGAGGCAAGCGGATCTCTGTGAGTTTGAGGCCAGCCTGGTCTCCAGAGCGAGTGCCAGGATAGGCTCCAAAGCTACACAGAGAAAACCTGTCTCGAAAAAACAAAAAAAAACAAACAAAAAAAAAAACAAAAAAAAAAGAAAGAAAAAAAGAAAAGAAAGGGAAAAGAAAAAGAAAAACGCCGGATAATGGTGGTGGTCGCCTTTAATCCCAGCACTCAGGAGGCAGAGGCAAGTAGATTTCTTAGTTCCGAGGCCAGCCTGGTCTACAGAGCGAGTTCCAGGAGAGCCTGGGCTACACAGAGAAACCCTGTCTTGAAAAACGAGAAAAAAAAAAAAAAAAGTAAAGAAAGAAAGAGAGGGGAAAAGAAAACCTACAACATTCCCCAAATTCTAAGACTCACCAAAATCTTGCATTTATTCTCACATTTGGAGAGAAAGTCTGAATCAATAATTCCTGACAATTCTACCAGGACAAACTGCTCCTGATGGAAGAAAGAAAAGTTAACATGGTACACTGCCAGTGAGCAAGAGAAAATAAACAGAAATGCCCCAAATCCCAATTTAACGATGCGGCCTTTGTGAAAACTTGATCTAGCTTTCTAGCTTCTGGTGGAAGCAGACTACCCGCAGAACCGCCCAGACCATCTCTGTTCTTTCTAGAATGGGTGGATGAGAAATGGGGTTCGACCTCCCCGGCTTCTCGTGCCCCAGCGTCTGAAAGCGAGTGCGCTGCCTCCGGGCCTCGTTCCCGCCATCTGCATCCTGGACTCCCTTCCCCACCCGGGACTGGCACAGCCATGACCCCCGACGCTGCGGGCTTTCGCCCCACGCTTACAACCTCCTCTATCTCCTCTTCCTCGTCCTCATCCTCCTCCTCCTCCTCCCAACTGGGATCCATTGCAGACGCCATTGCCCGAACACTCGGAGAAGCCATCACTGGCCACGCCCACCCATGGGCGCCATCTTGGATACGGGCAGCGGCGTGCTGTGTCCGGCTATTGCGATTCCAGACGCACAGACGTCACGCCCGAAAGTAAGATGGCGATGCCAGGCTTCCTCCGGAGAACCATGTCTAGGCACATTCCAAGACTAGGCACATTCCGACCTTTCGAGCTTGGGGAATTTAGGTTTATGCCCCCTTGAGAGAATGTGGCTGCCCCTCATATACACTGCATGCCGCACTTAAGACTAGAGAACCGATTCGAGCTACCTGGAATGGTTTGCCTATACCTGCCACCCTTAGCAGCTGGGGGAGGGAAGTGTAAAGCAGGATTATTAATGCAAATTCAAGACTGGCTACACAGCCTCAGGTGTATGCGTGATGAACCCAACGCTGATGTCACCGGATGTGCCCCTGGGGAGACTGGGATGGATTTAGGCAGCAAAGGCCATCGAACACCAGTCTCAAACAAGATACAACCCGAGAAGCCGCACACACCCTGTATCTTTAAACTGGACCGGAAGTGGTTTGTTAAGGCTGCTGAAGACACTAGCGCCTGATTGGCTGGTGTCCGTAATATGTAAATTAACTTAAATTTGAGTTAATTTACAATTCATAATATTTAGGATTTTTTTTCGAAGAAACACACAAACACCAGTTTGAAAATGTATGTATGTATTATTCCTTGGTTAAAAAATGTTACCAGCGTTGGGAGGGCGAATGTTATGATGTAATGTCACCATTAGTTAAAAATGAGCTGAGGGAGGTGACCTGGCAGCGGTTGTCAGCAGTTCTTTAAGACTATACTTTCAGGGATCATTTCTATAGTTCGTTACTAGAGAAGTTTCTCTGACTGTGTAGAGCACCCGAAACCACGAGGAGGAGGCGCAGCATTCTTTCCTGAGCGTGAAGCCGGCTCTTAGTGTTGCTTTCTGCAACTGCTAATTGCCATTGATGATCGTTCTTCTCTCCCCCGGGAGAGTGAGAGGGAAAGAATGCAGTCTGAGTGGTTTCTTTTTCATACCTGTAAATATTAGAAAGAATTTTTTTCTGTTGATTTTGTTGCTGTGTCGTTTGATTGCTTAGGTTCTTTCCTTTTGTTCGTGATCTTGTTTTCATCTATTTTCAGGCTAAAAGCTGTATTTTCACTGAGTGGACTTTTTCGCTGTCACCAGAGCATGGAAAATTGCCTCTGTGGGTTTAGAACTCTCAGAAGTTCTCTCTGTAGTGCTTTGATTTCTCTCTCCGTCTCCCAACCAATTAAAAACGTGTAAACTGCAGATTGTGTACTAGCACATATACCATATCTATTTTTGCTAAAGATGTCTCACGTAAACACCAGGTGTTTGCAGGTGTAATTGAAGCTACTTGAGGGCGGTGGACACCCTGAAAGGTGCTAATTAAAATAAGAGATATTAGATGATACTGGCCAAGATATTAAAAATATGCCACGGGTGGGGTTATGGCCTGTCTTCTTGCTATTAACAGCCTATATGAAGATTATATGTAGAAGAAATCTAGTAAAATGAGCTTTTAGGGTTAAAGTCTCCAGAAATGAATGTTTTTCACTTACATGAATTCTTTTAATACTTTATTTAATGTGCATTGGTGTAAGAATACCAGATCCCCTCGGAACCCACTTAACACTTAGCCATCTCTCCAGTCTCTATATTCAGTGACGAAGTGTAGCTCAAGTGGTAGAGCATTCGCCTTGTTCAGTCGCCAATGGGGCAGGGCGGGCTGGGTAAGTTAAACATCTTCAATTTTCAGCAGCATCGCAGTGAGTCCGAAGGGCTTCTTCAGATAACAAATGTGCTTTTCTACCAAGTTGCCAAGTACTGATGCTCTGGTCTAAGGAACCAAGTTGAAATACTACTCAACTAGGCCACCTGCAAGAGCCATTTGACAGCAGCTTTGTACAACAAAATACTGAGATCATGCTAAGTATTCCAGCTTGCTAGAATTAGTTGTGAAAATAAGATTTAGGGCCGGGCGTTGGTGGCACACGCCTTTAATCCCAGCACTCGGGAGGCCGACGGATCTCTGTGAGTTCGAGGCCAGCCTGGTCTCCAGAGCGAGTGCCAGGATAGGCTCCAAAGCTACACAGAGAAACCCTGTCTCGAAACCCCCCCCCCAAAAAAAAAAAGAAAAAGAAAAGGTTTAATTCTTTATTTTCGTGTTGTTATTTTTATGTGTATAGGTTTGTCCAATACACATTAAAACAAAAATAGCTGGGTATGGTGGCATCAGCCTTTAATGCCAGCATTTGGAATGAAGGGGCAGGCAGATGGATCTCTGTGCATTTGAGGCCAAACTGGTTTACATAGCGAATTATAGACCAGCCTAGGCTGGACAGTGAGATACTGTTCAAAAGAAAGAAAAAAAGGTGGAGGAGATCATAAAGTTTGTGTAACTGTTAAAGATGCCAGAATCACGAACTTTCTCTGACTCCAGTTAAGGGATGTGGCTCAGTTAGCAAAGTGCAAGGAGCAATATATAAACAGGGTGCCGTGGTGCATGCCTATGATCTCTGGAGGAAGCAGGATCACCTATGAGCCAGACAGTGGTGGGGCACACCTTTAATCCCAGCACTCAAGAGGCAGAGGCAGAGGCAGGCAGATCTCTTTGAGTCTGAGGCCAGCCTGGTCTACAAGAGCAAGTTCCAGAACAGTCAGGGCTACACAGAGATACCCTGTTTCAAGAGTGGGAGAGAAGTCATCCTTGGCTATGTAGAATGTGCTATACAAGATGCTCCCCTAAAAAAAAAAAAAAAAAAAAAAAAAAAAAAAAGTAGTTATTTTGGTAGAATGACTGGCATGCACAAAGCCCTGAGTTTGATTTTCAGCATTTCATAAACTGGCCAGTGTGGCACATGCCTGTAATCCTAGCACTAAGGAAAGGTTCTGAACCCTGCCCACTCAGTCTCCGAACAAAGGCAAAGTGCCAAAAAGCCTAGTTCCTAATTCCTTGCAGCTACTGCAGCTTCCTCCACTGAAGTTGCCACCCAAGTCTCTGCCTAACGAGACTTTTGACCAGATTTGGGCACAAACCCAGCTTGTGGCTGAAACATCATCAACCCTTGTCCACAATCTATAAAAGTCTCCCTGCTTTTATTTGCAGCGGTGGCTTCTCCAGCCTTGGTCTTTGGGACTGGAGAACCTGCTGGGGAGTCACTTTGCTCAAAGGAACCTGTTGTTTCCCTTTTTCAATTTGGCTTGGTCTGGCTTACTGCATTGGTTGAGAAATCTATGTGTGAGGGGGCAAAAAACTTACTACTAACTACCACAGAGCTAGATCCCATAAGTGTATTCTTCTGCACCCTCTTCTGTTAGAGGCGCTTCTGTGGAAAATTTGAGAAATACTGAAATATTGCTTAAAAAAATAAATGATGTGGGGGCTGGAGAGATGGCTTAGCGGTTGAGAGCACTGGCTGCTCTTCCAGAGGATCTGGGTTCAATTCCCAGCACCCACAACCCACATGGTGGCTCACAATTGTCTGTAACTCCATTTCCAGGGGATATGATACTTCACATCAATGCACATAAAATAAAGTTAAATAATTTTAAAAAATAAATGCTGCTGTGTAACTGGGCCTGGAAGTGAAGGACTCAGTACTCAGAATATGGGGCAGGAGAATCCAAAGTTCGAGGTCTGTCTGGGCTACTTCAAGGTCAGCCAGGTGACTTAGTTAGACCCTGTCTCAAAATAAAAGTAAAATGAGAGATACCTCAGAGGAGGACACAGCCTAGCATGTGTGGAGACCTGGTTCAGTCATCAGAAAAAAAAAAAAAAAAGTAAATTACAGGTATTGAAATGTTTTATTTCATTTATTACCTGTGTGTATGTGCACATGCACATGTGTTTGGGAACACACCTGAAACAATTCAAATGTTGCTGTCAGAAGACAACTTTGTGGAGCAGTTTCTCCCCTACATTTACATGGATTCCAGGAGTAGACCTCAGGTCATCAGTTGTTCACAATATTGCCTTTCTAAGTAGAGGTCATGACCCCTTTGGGGACGATTATCCGGTATATTGTATATTAGATATTTACATTATATTTCATAACAGTAGCAAAATTACAGTTATAACGTAGCAACAAAATAATTTTAAGGTTGGAGGTCACCATAACTGCTATAAATGGTCACAGCATGCACACCTTTAATCTCAGCAATTGGGAGGCAGAGGCAGGCGGATCTCTGAATTTGAGGCCAGCCTGGTCTACAGAGTGAGTTCTAGGACAACTGGGGCTACACAGAGAAACCTGTCTTGAAAAACTAATGATAAAACACGCCTTTAATCTCAGCCCTCAGGAGGCAGAGGCAGGTTCCAGGCCAGCCTGGTCTACAGAGCGAGTTCCAGGACAGCCAGAGCTGTTACACAGAGAAACTCTGTCTCAAAACAAAAACAAAATAATAATAATAATAATAATAATAATAATAATAATAATAATAATAATAACTTTATTTTAAAAAGTAAACTAAGGGACCAGTAACATGGCCCGTAACAGGCTTTCTTGGACCACCAGCTCCCAAATCATGACACAGAGACTTATTAATTATGAGTGCTCAGTATTAGCTTAGTCTTGTTTCTAGCTAGCTTTTAAAATTTGGACGAACCCATTTCTATTCATCTATGTGTTACCCTGAGACAGGCCCTCTACATACTGTCTATCCTGCCTTCCTGCTTCCTCTGCCTCAGGAGGCTGGCTGTTCCCCTGCTGGCTGGCCTCCCCTTTTCTCTCTGACCACCAGCCCCGCCTATCCCTCCTCTGCCTAAGCTATTGGCTGTTCAGCATTTTATTAATCCAGTCAGGTGCCGTAGCCAGGCAAGGTGAAACAGCCACACAGAGTTAAACAAATGCAGCATGAACAAAAGCAACACACCTTTACATAGTTAAACAATCATCCTGCACCATAAGTAACCATTAGTTTGCACAGTTAAGCTAATATCCACAGCAGTGTCTCAGCAGGTGGAGGTACTTACTTATTATGCAAGCCTCGCTAACAAAGTTCGGTCCTGGAATGAAGTGGAAGCAAAGAACTGACTGACTCCACAGGATTG